GACCGTTGTGCCAGAAATATTGATCCTTTGATGGCAGAGTGACTAATTATAAATACTGATTTGTTTTGTTTATTTTTTCCGGGCAGCCCAGGGAGCATGGCACCAGCACGATGACTAATTAAAGCAATTTTATGGCTTTACCCTGAGAGGCGAGGGAGAGGTAAAAGCTGGAATGTTGTTTGTTTTACAGGATGGGCCACTTTTCTCCCAGAGCTACGGCTCTTTGTGTCGCCCAGCTTTCCTCAATATTTCACTGCCTGTTGTCTTGTTGAGCCCCTGCCCTGCAAGGAGCAGGGAAATAGTATTTTAGAGAAGAAAGGGATAGATGTGGGGCTTCTTCCTCCCACTTTAAGACGTGGAGGCCGTTGCAGAGCTGAGCTTCCTGAGGTTTGGTGCGTCTTTATCGTGCCGCGACTTGTGGCAGCGTAAACACCGGGCGCTTTCATCTGCAGCCCTGCCTCCTCGGCGCCGCCGTCTTGCCGGCTCTCGAGCCCCGGCACGGTTGGGCGTGGAGAAGGTTATTTATCTCCAAAACCCAACCCCATGCTGGAGGAAGCTGGTGCTGGCAGCTCAAGGTAGAGATGTTTGTGGCGTCGCCTCAGCAGGGTGCTCCTGGGGAACGCCGGCACCGAGGGCCGTCAGCCTTTAGCCGCGAAGCCGCGGTGCTGTTTGGAGCCAAGGGCTGTGTAGCAATGGGATTTCAACAGCCAAGCTGACTTTTACCCCCCTCCCCATCTCTCTGTGATGTGGAATAGGACCTTTGAACTCGGAGGGATTACTTTATTTGATGTACCCAAAGTTTAGAAAGTCAATGCCCTTTAATTGTTGCAAAGGGCACCCAGTGTTTTCCACCCAAAAAAGAGCTAAAGGCACCAGGGACTCACACCTTCCTCCCCTGATTCATTCTACACCTTTGCAAGACCAGAGTTTTCACTTGTGCTTTTTTTTTTCCTTCCTAATTTTGTTTTTCCCCAAACTGAGCCTTCCTCCACTTCACAAGCTTTAAATGACTTACTAACAAGAAGCAGGAAAGCACAGTTTAAATTATTTTGGTCTAGGATTAAAATACATACCGTGCGGACGTCACGGTGCCTGGCCGGCTGGCCTGGTTTTTAAATCCAAATAGAGGAGAAGAATGCTGCCACCTCCCCTCGGAAAAATAATAAATGAGCTGTGGTGGTGTGCCAAAGCAGCGCTCGCCAAGGGTTTGGCGTGGGGAGGAGGTAAGAGGCTCTCGACCTGTCGTGGTTTGGTAGGGAATAGATTTGTAAGGAAACTAAACCTTTCCAGAAAGGTTCAAGTGAAAAACTGCAGCTTTGCTTTGCACCAGGGTTTAATCGTGTGTACTACGGGTGCGAAGCGCTGGCTGGTGCCTTCCCGGGTGGAGGTGACACAGCAGCCTGCAAGGAGGCTCATCGTGTAAAAACGGTATGGGATTGAATCTTGAGGGGTGGGTAAAGCTATAAAAATCATGGAATGGTTTGGGTTGGAAGGGACCTTCAAGACCATCCAGTTCCAACCCCCCTGCCATGGGCAGAGATACCCTCTACTACACCAGGTTGCTCAAAGCCTCATCCAACCTGGCCTTGAACACTGCCAGGGATGGGGCAGCCACAGCTTCTCTGGGCAACCTGGTCCAGTGCCTCACCACCCTCAGAGGGAAGAATTTCTCCCTTAGATCCTGTCGAAATCTCCCCTCTTCCAGTTTAAAGCCATTGCCCCGTGTCCTGTCACTACATGCCCTTGTCCAAAGCCCCTCTCCAGCTTTCTTGGAG